GGGTGTGGGGCTCTACCCGGGACAATGGAAAAATTCCTGAGTTTAACTTAGCTGAGAACTATAGAAACCTGAGTTTAATTCAGCTGAGAACTATAGGGGCTGTTTTAATTTTAATCTTTCATTCCCCACTTCTTTTTTTTTGTTAAAAAGTTCTAGTCTTAGAACTAGTGGGAGGTTTCTACTTGCTTGAGAGACTGATATTGATGCTGGAGTACTATTAACTGAACTGCACTAATTCTTTTATAAAAATTACAAGCTTATTAACAATACGGGGTCTTATAGTTAATATAATAGTCAACATTCACTTGAATTGATTACTAAAAAAACTTGTACATAGGGCTTATGGTCTATTTCATTTAACAACTCTTTTCAACAGACTATGGCTTCATTGATATTCTAATAGAAAGTATATTACTTATGTAATATTTTACAGTGTAAAAATCAGTCTTTTAAATAGTCTACTTATATATAGAATAAATATTTTTATATTAATATTTATAAGTGGAGAACTATTTGTGGATTCTACACATAAAAGATTTTTAAAACTTACATGACTGATGCATCTACACATCTCTACGCACTCCTTCTCACAAAGAAATATTTTTCATGAGCTCTGATGTACTCAAACAATAATGACTCTCAGCCTTGATGATTGTCTTTGATTATAACTGAAATTTTTAAGAAAATTATTGTCACTCTTATTTAGACTTAAGGCTCTTGAAAGAACAAGATGCATTCTTAACAATGAGTTATGCATTTTACTTTCATGTTCTGATTCATTTTTAGCTAAATTCTTTGTGCACGGTTACTATAACATAATTATTTTTCTCTTACTCTAAAAGGGCTTCAGAAGGCCAATAATAGCATGACATTCTCTGCTACTGCAGCAAACTGGAATTTAGTATAAAATCAGTTTTTATATTAATCACTATTAAGATTTAAAAAGAAATTTAATACTGTCACTTGTACATATATATTTACTCAATTATAAAAGAAAATTTTCACAAGACTAAAATAATTTTACAATGCAAATGGGTTGAAGACAAGACAGTAAATACAAGATCAAAGTAAACATGGGTTCTTGCAGTTTCTAAAGCTTTCAGGCGGGTAAGCAAGGGTACAGAGAAAACATTATCAGGATCAAACTTATCACTCATAGTTGAAATTGGTGGAGAGTCCCTATATAGAATTTCAAACGGTGTCAGTCTAAATTGTCCTGGAGTATTCCGAACTCGGAACAGGACAAAAGGAAGGAGGACTGTC